TCAGACATTAATTTAATTTATAATTATTATCATTTTAACTTAAAAAAAATTATCATATTATTACAGACCATTAATTATTTTTCTATTTAATTCTTAACATCAAATCATTTTATTCATTAGTCAATTTTTTTAATTTTATCATTCATCTAAGACGTAGTATAATTATATTATACATTTATTCATATCAAATCACCTAATTCAACTGTAAAATATTTGAATAATAATTTATGCCTATTTTCATATATGTATTTTGATGATATTAAATAAACATCTTATATTATTATAATTAAACATCAATTCAAGTTGCTCTTCTTAAAGTTAATCCCTTTTATTATCCATATGTAATATCAAAACTCTAACTTATAACTTTTGAAGGACCAAAAATTAATATTAGAATAAACTTTCAATTTTCAAAAGAAAATTATCCTCCTTTTCTTAATAAGTTTCTTTCAAAGATTGATACCCAAATAGAACCTTATTCTAATATAATGAGTATAACGCTAAATTTAACTTGATAAAATGGGCTGATCACTTGCTTAATACTATTAATTTCATAAATTCGTTTGGAATTTTCAATATTTTAAATCATAAAATAAGGAATTCTTATTTTTTTTCCTATATTATATATATCAAATTATTTTTAAATATATTGAAGAGAATTCTTCTAAAAAATTCATCTGGATTATTATTGATATTAAAATGGAAATCGTTAGGTCTATGTACATTCAAATTTCAAATTCATTCTCTAAAATAAATTTTTATACATAGAAAAGCTAGTTTCTCAAATAATTAAGAGAGCTTTAAAATAAGTTTTTATAATAATAAAAATTATTAATTTTATTAATCTCCTTTGTTAATTAATTTTTTAAACTTGAATTGTTCAAATATATTTATTTATATTAAAGTTTTTAAGAGCATCAACTTAGCATCATTTAAATAAGGTGTTATTTACCATTAATAATTCAATTTTTAAACTAGTAAGTTTTAGAATCAGTTAAACTTTAGCAAATGACATTGATGTACAAATATTAGAGGCCTTTTAATTTTTTAAAGTTATTTAAACAAATTGAAATAATATTATATTAATTAAAAAATTGATTAGATATCAGTAAAACAACTTTTCAAAACTAATTTAAGGCATTAGATTTAATCTATTTTATTTTCTGCCTTCCATCTTCACTTTTATATTATTCTTATTTCTTAATAATCTAATCATTGTAATAGAAAATACTTATTTTTTTAATTAATTTATAATAATGTATAATTTTCTTCTAAAATTTATAAATAAATATTCTTTAAATTCTTTTAATAAGACCCATTTATAAATTTTTGGACTACTCATAATAAATATTTATAATAATTTATTTATTTAAACTTCAAACATAAACTTTTCTAGCAAATAAAAGTAAAGAAAATCATCAAAATCTTTATTATTAATTTTGTTTTAATTCAATAATTAATTTTTATGGTTCAATACATGAAAGCTATTTACTTAAAATATCTAAATAAATTTTTGTAATTATGTATCTACAAATCCTATTCTCTTTAATTCTTCTAAGTTACATCATTTGGTTTCTAGATTTTTCCAATTTTCTATCTACTTTAGAAGTCTTTTATTTATATTCTTCTATGATTGTAATTTAAACAATATTCCTAAAAATTAATATAAAAACATACTTATAATTTATCAATATAATTATAATATTAATATATGAGTAATTTATTATGTCCTTAACATAATTTACCTATCATACAAATTGATATTGATATCAATACTCTAATCGGAGATAGAACTGTTTGTTTAGAATGTCCATCTAAAACACGTGAAAATATTAATAGAGTCTTGAATATATATGAAAAAATAAATAAACCACATCTTGATTAAATTAATTCAATCAAAAAGGGCTTATTTAACTCTACAAAATAATTTTAAAAAAGAATCTCTTAAATTCAAGAAATATTGAATATGTAAATCAATTAATTGCAATCTTCAATAGAAAAAGAGAATTAAAATATTATATTTGATTTATCAGAATATGAAAAAGATTTCTAAGTAAACATAGAATTATTAACTTTAACCAAATTATAATAAATTGCTCAAAAAGTGGTTTCTCATTAAAGTAATTTAGTTGAATCTTCATCATTTTCATTGTAATATTAAAACATATTTAAATCTATTGAACTAGTTAAATAAAAATTTTAAAAATTAATAGATGAAATCTAGTTAAATCTATAAAAACAACTTAATTCATTAACTATTTATTTTGGAACATTTATGAAAGATATTCAGATTGAATAAATTAAAAATGAACTTTTATCTTAATGTTAAATTAAATCAGAATATTAAGTAGTATTTTAATTAGATAAAAATTATGAAACATGTGCTTTGAATGATAAATTAGTATTCTTATCATAAAAAAATGATAATAGAATAGAATCATATTAACTTTAAGTTTAAAATGAATTTTAAAATATTAATGTTTCATTTAATGATATAATTAGTTTATGTTTAAATGAATAATAGCTTATAATAAGAAGTTCAGAGAATGAAATATCTATACGTTAAATTGATAATTTAATAGTTTAAAAATAAATGATTACAGGTAGTAATAAAGAAAAAGGATATAATTCATGTATGGTGGTAAGTGAAAATAATGAGTTCTTTATTTTTGCATAACCAATGCCAAAAATCATGATTTTTATTAAAAAAGATAATAAAAATTAAATATGGAGTGAATACTTTACTATAGAAGGTTTTGGTTGGCCTGTTTAAGATTTGAGTTGTCATTCTGAAACATTGAATATTGTTATTTGTACTCATAATAAAGATATATTTATTTGGAAGAAAGAAATAACAAAAAATAATTTAATAAGATGGATATAATACGGTGATCCTATTAGAAAAGCTCATAATGAAAGAATTTATAGTGTAAGTTGGATTAAATCAGATTAATTTTTAAGTGGAGGATTATAAATATTAAATTGGAAATAAAACTAAAATGGAGAATTTACAGTTATATAAAAAATAGAAAAATTTCATATTATTGATAAATTTTGTTTTTTAAGAATACCTAAGATATTAATAATTTAAGAATCAGGAAATTGTTTAGAAATCTGCTAAATAGATGAAAAGAATTAAATTAATAAATTATATTGCATTAAGGGAAATTAAAAAATACTTTCAATATCATAAATTTCAAGTTCAATTGCAATAAATAATTTAGAGGATAACAAATTTTAGATAATTAAATTCTCATTTTGACTTTAACATTATATTTAATAAAATAATTATGAATAATTATAATAATTTGTTGTATGATATTATTTTATTTTTTTATTCTTATTTTATTTATAAGAATAATAATAATATAAGTATTAAAAATGAAATAGTTATAAAATAATTAGAAATGAATAAAATCAGTTTTGATATAATAATATATATAAATGATAAAAATCATAATCTAATTTTTAATTCTGAGTTAAACCTTAGGATTATATAGTGATGATGATGTGTTTTATTGTTAAGATGATTTTACAGATGTTGAATTATCTGAAAAAATAAAAGTGTAACCATTAGATCAATATATATTTTTGATAATTTGTATTAGAAGTATTAAATAATAAATTAGCTCCATTGGCATTTATGTGTACAATGTTCATCACATACAGTTTTATATAGTATCCAAATACTAGAAAGATGCCTGGAGATATAGTATTTTTTATATCAATGTCAGATGCAATTTTATGTATACATTGGTTTTTGACTGCTTTATATTATTAAATTTATTAGGAGAATCCATTAAGTTCAGGTGTATTTTGTTAAACAAATTCAATGTTTAGTATATTTGCAGGTACAGGGGAAGTATCCTATAATGTAGTATTTTGTATATATTTACGATTAACTCTTAAAAATTAATTTAAAGTGATTCCTAAATTATCAATAATATTACATACATTAGCATGGATAGCAATGATATCAATTCCACTTTTAGCAAAACTTACTAATAATAATGGATTATCAATATTTGGAACATGTAGTTTTAAATTTCATCCAGGATTTCCATTGGCTGGTATATTACTTGTATTTTGTTATACTATTATTTCTGTATATACAATAGTATATTTTAATAAAGCTATTCCTGATGATGAAAAATATAAAGAATATAAAGATACATTTGCAAAATATTATTATCGTTATATTAAAGGATCATGCATTATTTGGACAATTTAAGCAATATCATTTACTATAGCAGGATTTAATTGTTCATATTTTCATTAAGGATTTCTTTTAGCTTTTATTACTATTGGAAATTCAGCTAAATTATGTACACCTGTAGTTTTATCAATTTTAAGGTATAATGATCCTACTATTAAATAATAAATTAAAAGATTATTTAGAAAACTATCAAGAAGAAATTATGATAATGTTCAAACTGAATTATGTAAAATTTAATATACTATATTATTTTAGTATAAGATGATACTAATTTCTATGATACTATTCATTAAAATTTAAAATTTGATTAAGTTAATACAATCATATTTGGTATTAGAGCTATTTGTTAATCAGATTTATAAAATAATTTATCTAATCAAGACAATTTTGATTAAATTTAAATTTATTAAAGATAAACTTAAACATATCGAACTATTAATGATTCTTTTAATAATGATATTTGTAAATTATTAATTAACTATAATTTAAAAATAGAAGATTTTCATGAAGAAATTACATATAATATTGATAATGATAGTAGTTAAAATGAAAAATTAATTGATCTTAAATTATTGTAATCAACTATGATAGTTTATGCTCCAGCTGTTTTTTAAAAAATTAGATAAAAAGATAATAAAATGATTAACCATTTTGAATCATTTGATCTTATTGCAAATTAAAATTAAATTAAATAATTTAAAGGGCCAGATGGAGGTAAAGGAGGAGCTTTCTTCTTTTTTTCTTATGATAATAAATTAATCATTAAAACATTATCAGATTAAGAATTACTTGTTATTAAAAAAAATCTATTAAAATACTTTCTTCATATCTAAGAAAATGAAACTATTATATCACCTATATATGGTATTTATAAATTAACTAGATAAAATGTAAAATCTATATTCTAATAATATATAGGTTTAAGAACCTATTAATGTTGTTGTAATGAGAAATGTAATGTAAATTCCATCTGAATTTAAAATTAGAACTTATGATATAAAAGGATCTGAACATGCTAGATAAGTAATAAAAAAAAATTAAAATCTTAATGAATTTGAACTATAAAAAGTTACATTAAAAGATATAGATTTCTAAAAATTTGAAAAGAAATTGCATATACCTGATTAATATAGAAATAGATTAAAAAATTGTTTAATTAACGATGCTACATTCTTTGGTCATATCAAATTAATGGATTATTCTCTTTTAATTGTGAAAATGGATTGGTACACATATTCTTAGAAATATCCTCATATTAAAGAATCTGATGTAATATTTATTATTATATATTATTAACATAGATTCCTAATTATTTTTCATCTGATTTGTATTGCATACCATCCACAGATGCATCATAAAGAGGAATCTATTATCATATAGCCATCATAGATTATTTACAAGAGTGGAATGCATCAAAAATTATTGAAAAACATACTAAAAAAGCCATTCATGCCAATATTGCATTAGATACTTCGGCTTAAAATCCAGAAGATTATGCTAATAGATTTATAGAAAAAGTAGCAAAAGTTATTGTTTGAATAAACTATTCTATTCATTTTGTTTGTATCATTTATTTATTTTTACTATTAACAATATTTTATTATTTTTATTTATCCAATTTATATTCACATATTCATTTTATAAATATATATAATCAAATAATCATTTTGTATCTTTTAATATAATATATTACAATTATATGATTTTAAATGATTTACATTTCTAATTTATTATTTAATTCACTAAATTATATATTTTATATGTAAACACGTTCAAAAACATATCTTAAAGGATTACTTTATCAAGGAGAATACTAATTCTTATATTAATCTCATGATTTAAATGAAGACAATTGCCATTTACCAAATTAATAATTTGATATTTCATTATCTAATTAAGTTTACTCTAAAGAATACTAATTTTGTATTTAAAACTTTATTACTAATTCAAACCATTATTATTTAGCCTTAAATATTTAAAGATGTAAAATTATTCATGATAGAAATATATAATCAAGTCATTCTGATTATAGAATACAAATAATTATTATGAAAACCAATTAATCTGTTTTTACAGGAAGATTTTGGTGTATCGATCGTTTAACTCTGTAATTTACTATTGATTCATAGTTTCTTGTGTATTCAAGAGAATAAACTATTGGTATAATTAATATTAAATAAAAAACAGAAAAAATTCTTTAAGTAAATGCAAACTTTTATTCTTTAGATCATAATGACTAAATCTATTTAATAACTGATAAAAAGTACTTATTCATTTACTGTTTAAAAAACAATAATCTCTAAAAATAAGTTTTAATTTCTAATTTGTTCTCTAGATAAAAATTATTAAGAGTTTAGAAAATTACCACAAAACTTATAATTATTGATACTATAACTTAATCATAAATCATTAATTTAGATAACAATAAGATTTTAAGTACTTAAAAGAATACAAATTAATATCAAAAAATAAGATATATATTTTAAGATAAAATAATTATAATTCCTCAAACAATTAAAAAAAACTATTGTATTAAATAATTAAGAACGGGCAAAATAATAAGAATTTTAAATGAATTTTAAATATATTAAAGCAATATTTTTGAAAATTAAAATTCAATATATTTATTTGCATATTAATATAGGGATAACGCAAATGAAAAATATAAATTTTATTTGATGGATTTGCTCAAAGGTGTGAAGAAGGAATTAAAACTAAAATTTGATAATAGGTTTTAAATTAGATATTTCCCTTTAGTTATGCAAAATGATTTGATTATAGGAATTGATGAATAAGGAAAATTAATTAGACACTTTTCTCTTAATAATTGATTTATTATATATGTGTGTATACAATAATTTTTTAATATGAATATAATAATATAAAATGTATTTATTTTTGGATGGAATTATAATTTTAAATATAATTATAGAAAATAGAGTTAATTAAATTTATATTTTATGAAATATATTTCTGATATAAATAATATTTATATGAAAATGATTTACTCAAAAAATGTAGATTTAAAGTGTCGAAATAGTGAACATGATATCAATATAAAAATGGTTTGTTTGAATGAGTTTTGTAGTGATTTTAGATTGTTTTGTATGAAATGTGTTTAAAATAAATATCATCATGCTCATTTGGAATCATGGATTGATATGCCTTAATTATATGAATAACTAGAAAATTAAGGAAAAGATTGTGAGATATTCTTGGAAGATATTTCTAAATTATTAGAGTCTTCTATACAATAATTTTAAAAATTAAAGGATGGAATTTAGCTAAAATATTTGATAAATAAAGAAAGATTAGAGAGAATGGATTTGTAGTAATTAAATACTATAGTTATTGAAATGATTAAATTCCAAGAGTATAAGTAATAAGCATCATAAATAATAACTAAATGTTTAAATTCTATGTAAAATGAGTTAATTAAACTTAATGTTAAGTTGAATATAGATGAATTGAATTACTGTAAATAAAATTAAAACAATAAAAAATAACCTGAATAGAATGGAAATAAAGGTAGATAATAATTTAATTAGGTAATAAATTAAATTAGAATGAAATGTTATAAGCATCAATAAGAATGTTAAATTAATCTTAGGTTTTGAATCCTGGAAATTTAGCAGCATTTTCCATGAAAGGTAATTAAATAATAATTAAAATAAAGCATAAACTTTAAAATAATTAGGGTAATTTAATGAAGCTATTACTTGGGCAAATAAGGCATTAGAAATAGATGCAAATCATATTAATACTTTATATTGCAAAGGTGATTTTCGATTTAATTTTAGCTAAATGTTTATATATGGTAGATAAATATGAAGAGGCAGTGGAATGTATTGATAAAGTATTGAAAATAGATCCAAATCATATAAATGCATTGAGATGCAAAGGTTGATGTTTATTTAATATTTTTAAGGAGAGAGTTTAAGTTAATTAAATTAATATTAGAATGCTATGATTTTGTTTAATAAAGCCTTATAAATTGATGCTTTAGATGTAAACACATTATACTCTAAAGGTAATAGGTTATAATAATTGAATAGCATAATGTTTATATTTGCTTACTGAATATAATGAAGCAATACTTTAAACAGATAAAGTATTAACCATAGATCCAAATCATATGAATTCTTTTTGTTGCAAAGGTAAGACTTTTAAATCACTATTTAGTAAAAAGCTTATGCATGCTTGATATGTATCAAGAAGCTATACAATGGGCTGATAAAGCATTAAGTAAAGATCCAAATCATTTAATTATATTGACTTGTAAAGGTATTTATTACTTTAAGTTTTAGCATAAAGTTTATTTATATTGGATCGTTATTAAGATGCAATAATACATGCTAACTTAGTATTGGATGCAGATCCTAATAATTTGAGTACTCTTGATTGTAAAGGTTCAAATTGTTTATCAAATTATAAGCGCAATGCTTATTGCAATTATCAAATTACGAAGAAGCAATTGTTGTATCAGATTAAATTTTAACGATTAATCCAAATCATCTGAACTCTTTGCGTTATAAAAGTTTATTATTTTAATAACTTATAAAAGCTAAATGTTTATATGAGTTAAATCAATTTAATAATGCAATATCCTTAGCAGATAAAGTTATTTAAATTTAACCTAATGATGAGAACTCAATTATTACAAAAGGTAAACTAAATAACTTAAAATCAGCAAATAGCTTAAAATAACTAGGAAATTTTAAAGAGGCCATAATTTGGTATGATAAGGCTTTAACTATTAATTCATAGAATTTAATTATATTATAAGCTAAAAGTAATATATAAATACATTAATACAGTTTCATGTCTATTTAAATTAGATCGATTTTAAGAAACAATAAAATTGGCTGATTAAGCTTTGGCTTAAGATCCAAATAATTTAGAAATATTACTTTTTAAAGGTACATTTATTTTAATTCTTTAGCTGAAAGTTTAAGATTTCTTGGGTTATATAAAGATGCAATTTAATGGGCTGATAAAATATTAAAAATTGATCCTAAACATGAAAAATCAATTTCATGTAAAAGTATATGATTTGTTAAATTCAAGCAAATAGTTTACGATTACTCAGCTAATATTAAGATGCATAAGTTTCTCTTGAAAAGGTAGATCAGAAGTAATTAAATAAATTATGTTAAAAAAGTAATACATATTTATAAACATATTTTTAGTAAACAACTTACTTTAAGAAGGATAGTATGAAGGTGCAATCACTTTAATAGAAAAGGCTTTATCATAAGAGTGTAATAATGTTCAAATTTTGGAATGCAAATGTATTTTTCCATTAAATCATTCTTAGTGTAATGTTTATTTAAGTAAAAATAATATGAAAAAGCAATTGTGTTATCTAATAAACTTTTAGAGATTGAATCTAATAATATAAGATGTATGTAGTATTTAGGTTCTAATTGATTTAATATTTTTAGCTGATAGTCTACGATTACTTGGAAAGTATGAAGAATCTGTAAATGAGGCAAATAAAATATTATCAATAAATGAAAATTATTTGAATGCTTTACAGTGTAAAGGTATATGATTTTTAATAATTTGAGCATTGTGTTTAAACTTACTTGGTTAGTAAAAAGAAGCTTTGGCTTTGGCTAATTAAGCTTTATCAATAGATCCTAATCATGTTGACACAATAAGTTGCAAAGGTACTTTATTAAATTAATTAAGCAAATATCTTATAACATATGGGAAAGTATTCTGAAGCATTAAATTTATTAGAAAAGATATTAGATATGCATCCTTAAAATCTTGATGCTTTAAAATGCAAATGTAAAATCATTAATTTAAATCTTTAGCTCATTGCTTATATATGTTGAGTAAATTTAAAGATGCTATTACTTCAACGAATGAAGTATTAGATGCTGAACCAAAGAATGTAAATTCTTTATAGATCTTAGGTAAGAATTATATCATAAATTTATAGTTTAGAGTTTATTCAAACTTGGATTATATAATGATGCTATAATATCAGCTGATAAATATTTAGAAATCTGTCCTAATCATATTGATATTCTATTATGTAAAGGTAATAACATTCAAATTAATCTAAGCTCATAGTTTGAGATTGCTTGGAAAATTTAATGATGCCTTAGTATTTGTAGACAAAGTACTTAGCATTGATTCTAATAATATTAATGCAATGTAATGCAAAGGTTAATTATTAATTTTAATTTAGCATAAACTTTATATATGTTAGATTAGAATACAGACTCTATTATTTGGGCTGAAAAAGTATTAGCTATTGATCCCAATCATATTCATACTTTACATTGTAAAGGTACTTATTTCATACTCACAATTAAAGCTGATAATTTAAGATTACTTGGAAATTATAAAGATGCAATCATTTGGGCTGATAAAGTCTTAGCCATTGATTCTAAGTTTGTTAATGCTTTATATTGCAAGGGTTTTATTATTATTTTCATAATTAGCTGATAGTTTAAGATCTTTATCATAATATACTGAAGCATTAATTCTAGCTGATAAGGCTTTAACTATAGATTCAAGACATGTCAACACTTTAGGAACCAAAGGTAAATATAAATTCTAATTAGGTGATATATTAAGAATTTTTAAGAATTATGATTTAGCATTAAAAATGTTTGATCAAGCATTGAGTATTAATCCAAATAGTTACTTCTCAATTTCTTAAAAAGGTTTTTACATATTCTATACTAGGTGTTTGTTTATAAGAATAAAAAAAGTATTAAGAGGCTATTATTTGTTTTGATAAAGCTTTAAAAATTCAACCAAATGGAGGATGGGCTAACTGTAGAAAAAGTGATGTTTATATAAGTATTATTAGAATAATGTGAAGACGCATTGAGAAAGTAGAGATAAACTTTTAATTAATTTTGAACATATTCAATATTAAATTAATATAATAATTGAAAATTTATTTCTATTTTTATTTTGATTATCATTTATTTAATTTTCCATTAGAATTCAAAGTTTAATTAAGATACCTTAGATTAGATTATCTAAAATTCCATTTACAAATCTAAATTATTAAAATATTTCATTTAAACACGCATTCTTATAAGTATTATTGAAAATTAGTAACAATATCTAATTTAATTCAAAAAGAAAAAAATATAGTATATTAGTTGAATCAAATAAATACAAGAGAAAAAATTAGATATGATCAAACTATTTATTTATTTCCGTATGAGATAAATATATTGATTAAATAAAATTTAAAAGTTAATTATATAATTATGATGAACTTTTTCAATAGATTAATAAATCGTTTTACATAGAAATAAGAATAGAATATTAATAACAAAAATCATGAAGATCAGTTATTGAATTATGTCTAAATATAATAAATTTATGGTAAATAATCTTAAGAATGGCGTAATTCAGCTTTTAATCAAACATCTACATTATTATTGCTGGCATCTAAAACAATTATTAAGATTTTTTAATTTAAAAATGGTCGTTTAAAAGAAATTAAGACATTATACTATCATAACATTAATGCAATATATTGTATGAAGAACTCAAATTAATTTATGTTTATGAGAAATTAAGCTAGATGTATATTTTATTTAATAGCTTTGAATAATAGCAAGTTTTAAATAGAACAAAAATGTAATAAATCTAGAAGAATCTATACATTTCTTATGAATAATAAGGAAGATTTTTTAGTTGAATATGGAGATGATATTTTAATTTATCAAAAATAAGACTCATCTTGGATCTTAGTTTGGTATTTCGATTGGTTTGATTTATATATTTCAACTTGTTCATAAATATGTATTTCAGAGTTTCATAATCAACTCATTTGTAAAGCTTAATTTTGGAAAGATGGAGATGGGCTTCTCTGCATATTTTAAAAAAATAACGATAAGATGAATTGGGAAATAATATAAAAAATTGAGATTGATTTTTTTCATTCATTTTGTTGTATCAATGAGTTAAGTCTTCTTCTAATTGTAGATCCTAGAAGAAATTTACGAATTTTTCAACTAAAAATTCCTTCTAATTAATATGTTAATGTAAATGAAAGTATGTCCATCAAGAAATTATCTTTTAGAGAAAAAGATATTTTATTAGAATTTAAATAATCTTAATATGCTATTGGAATAGAAGAAAACAAATAATTTATTTCAAAATTTTTTGAAAATCCAAGAAGTTATTTAGAATAAAAACTTACTTTGAGTGCTCATGGAAAATATTTAGTCGTACATTCTCATTTTGGATAATGTGATATAAAATAGCTATTATAAAGTTGATCTTAGAATCTTACCTAATTATTTTAATTAAATTTTTTAACTTAGCATATAATTTAATTTATAAGCGTCTTTATAACATAAATCAATTAATTCTATTAAAATGCAAATATCAATTACAAAAGAGTTCTTTATTTTTTATTTAATTTAATAAAAAAACATAACAATTTTATTTTGTATTAAGTTACATAAGACGATTTATATATATAATATTTATACTCATTTAATTTAATATTAATCATTTTTCTATCTCTTTATCTTCTTTTATAACATCATTGCTTTTCAAGGCATCTCTCTGGATTTTACATGAATGATTTAAGATAAGCCCATAATTTAAATATAAAAGTTCAATTTGTTGTATCAAATTCATATTTTTATCATCCATTTTTTGGGTTAAATTCGTGTTGTTATTTGAAATTTTTTAATTACATTTATAAAATTTTTAATAAAAGTATATATAAAAATACAAGAGAAGAAGGTAAGATAATGAATAATTGGATCAAGTAATTAAAAGTTACCAGATAAAAATATAAATGGAAGAATAAACTTTGAATTAGAATAAATAAGCGTAAACTTAGCAAACATCAAATGTTTTCCAGAAACAATAGAAGCTGTGATCAATAAAATTAAAATAAAGAATATTTATTAAATATTAAGATAACTATTATATATAA